AAAGACGTCTTGACAAAAATGAAATATAAATACTCCTTTATTTAATAACTTCACATCCTCGTCGAACAAAAACTTCTAGTATACTTATGAACTCCTACCAACTTTAAGGAAAGCAACAGGTGTACATAAAAGAACACGGTAAATATCTCCTATCATTGATACACATTTATTTTTTCATTGTGTAAACTTCTTCCATAATCATACATCTCTCTAAACTATGGAGCAAAATAATAGGATTTTATAATGAAAATTCCTGACTATGACGTAGTTTATCCTTTTTGCACATATGGAATTCCGCCTTTGTCTAATACCTTAACGTTCATTTTGTCTCCTTGTTAACTTGCGTCTGAATGTGGTAGGGAACCATAAAGAAGCAATTATTATCAATTACCGACTGAACAAAATCGATAACATAGAAAATTGTGTTCGTAACATAACTTGACAACACAGATATTTTATCATTACTGATAATTATAGTAATGATGATTGTTGTTGAATTGTATTATGTGAATTAAGCTTTAAGAAAGATTATGACAGCTTTGTTGCGATTTTAAGAATTACGGAACCGAAGTTTCTTCGTTACTGTTTGAATATAGCTTTTGAAGCTATCTATTTTCATGCAATTGGAAACATACCTGCTTGTGGTAATAGAAACATACTTGATAACAAAACTACCTTACCAACAGTTAGTGCAAAGCTTAAAATCCTTGATTACTTTTGATTAATTTTTTAATTGTACTCATTGTAAATATTATTCACTAAAATACAATATATATAAGGAAAAATTACAAAAGATAATAGAAAGTACTCAAAGCTTATTTAAAACTTTCATAGTTACAGTACTTGTTATTCTATTTAATAATGTAATTGTTCTACATATACTTCATCTATAATAATACTTGAATAATGGAAATAAAATTTAGAACATATTTTTTTATCCACTATTGCACAAATATCACTTCCTACACTACCGATATAAGTAAAAGAAAATCGCTATGTTACCTGTAGTTGAAATTAATAACAAATAAATTAATTACTTGAATTGATATAGAACTAGTTACTGTACAAATATGTTATAGAAAGAGTTTTTATTAGAATATTTAAAAACGTAATATTATAGAATACAAAGGGTGAACAGTGGGTAAGTCGCATGTTTACAATTCGTCTGGTTATCCATTACATCGTTGGATGAATAATTCAAAACGGCAAGGGTGATTGGTTGTATTTAATTATTTTCATAGAGAACATAGTGACCACGAGTGCTAATATACTAAAGTACAATAACACGTTATATTGATATTCGTATCCATTTTAATAAATTTCTTATCGAGCAATGGTATCAATTCATTCTGACAAAATATAAGTTTATCCCTGTCGGTAACCATTGTTAGCGGGATTCTTGATCATAAAACCTCAAGATGTCGCTGTATGTCGCACGGTATGAAAAAAAATCGTACCTGCAATACAATCGTTATGGAATTCAGAGAAATGAAATTAGGAGTTCTAATACTAATTATACAGTTAATAGTCATATTATTGAACTATATTATGATCTATTAATATTAAGAGTAATAACTAAATATAAAATATTTCATAAATAATGTTATAAATATTAATGCATGTATTAAAATGTTATGCATATTCTACCATTATACCTATCATTAACTGTAATTAATACAGTATCAAAATATAACTGATAAGAAATCGATATAAAACTGATATTTCAAATACTTTGGAGGTGTAATTAAAATCAATATAGATAAGAACCTTTTTTCATTATAACAGCTATGCATCAGTTTGATTCCTCAAATACATGTATTTTAGAGAGAACCAATCAAGTTCTCGACAAAAGTTCAATATACATATATAAATATTTATATGAAGATGTGATAAAGATTTTTTTTTTAATTTATTAACTTTATCAACTTTGATGATTGAATTGTAATTCTGAAACTCACTATAGAGAACATAACAAAACTTGCTTTCTGCACGATCGGTATTTCAGAACATGTGATATTAGGACCCATAATAAGTACATACATATATCCTACACATAGTCCGTGGTGAATACGAAAATACATACAATGTTAGATTCGAATTGTGCTTTATTTATATCATAACATAAAAGGAATTATATCAATTATCAATTTTTAAAGAACCTTTCACACACTCCGTTTCTAATATAGACAATATATTTATGTTATATATTATTATTCAACACAACGATAGCAAAATATTTATGATACATTTTCAATTTTACGCAAAGATTTCAAAAAATAAAATTTAAATTTAATTGAGGGATTTAGTGATTAATAGAATGTTATTAATCAAAGTTATTAATGAAATTTAAAATAAAAATAAAGTCACTAAAATACAATATTTAATCTATGTCGGTATAAAAGCATAGAGGTTATAAACACAGACGAATATCTTATATGTATTATAATTAATACTGAGGAAAAACAGATCACAAATGAAAAAACGAAACACGATACGTATGTAAAATGAATCTATCTAAAATAATTAACTGAATAATACTTTTAAATAAAAGATTATTATATATCACAAAACAAACGTCATCGGACAATCTTGTCTGACACAATCGATGTATTCGCTTAGTAACACGCCGAAACTTTGAAGATGTCGTCAGGTATATCTGTCTCGACAAGACTGAACCTGCACCGACTTGCTTCAGAGAATATTTCTGAATCATTCGACCAATTACGTGGGAACCAAATTAAAATTCCCATTTCTATTACCTCACAAAACAGAATCTTTAAAACTTTACACCAAAAGTCTCACCGTTTATTTTGTAAATATTTTTTAATACTTCTTACATTATTAACACTGTAACAAATTAATCGAGTGAACGTTTAATAAAAAATTTACAATTCTTCTATTATTTATCTTAAATTGCATTAATTACATTCATAAGAGAGGGTATTATTATTATTATTGTTGTTATTATTATTATATACTACGTATTATGCAAACGCTATAACAAATGTTGTATCGTAGAATTTGTTTCACTAAATTAAAATTTTGTTGAGTATAAGAAATACGGTTATTTTTATTATTATAATTATGATTTACACCGTTTACAGAAATTAAATTTTAAGTTACAAAAAATTTAATTATTTTGTTATGTATTTAGTTTTATATCTTTTTTATTGTCCACACTTTCGGTAATTCTGCCCATCGTCGGTAGATGGTAGCACAACTACTGTTTTGACAGTTCCAAACTACATGTAGTTTTAAAATTTTTATTTTTATTAATTTTACTGTCCAATCAGTAATCGAGATTCAACGATGACGATAATTTAGTGGTTATTTCTTTGGAATATTCGTAACTAAACAATTCTTTAATACCAATAACTTATAAGAAAAAATAAACCGATAACTCATTGGTGTATTTCCGCATAACTGTTTCCAAGCAGAAAAGAACAGCCATCTTTTTGAAGAGATGATGCAATCGATGACACATATCGACCGTATCGCTAATCGCTTTTTACATCATAAATTTTTCTACCGTCAGTTTTGCTAGAAAATCGGATTGAAAAATGAAATGTCAATGAATTAGTTCTACTTTTACGATAAGTCGAAACAATTCTCATCAAACTATAGCCTATCGGATGTTAAGCGAAAGCCGCCAGCTGGGAGTGCTATTTTGAACGAAGAACAACGTTGCCAAATCGTGAAGCAAGCAAGTTCAAACACGTGCCCCGTGTTTTGCTCTTGGAAAGAGATAACTGCACTGCCTGACAAAACAGAATGTTTGCTTTCCACTTTATTCACAGCAAAGTTTCCCACTTATTGTAACAAAGAAATGCGGAAATAAAATGTAAATTCTACGCTTTTTAGTAATAAATTTTACATACTTTTGTTTAAATCTTGCAAACTCATGACACACGCTTCGAACATAAAAAGTGCGAATATTCAAACGAAGAGGGAAACTTAAATCTGAGAACGATCGAAATATTACATGCTCCAATAAGTATCATATATTTTATTTAATCTTACCCCAAATTTGTTTGCTTTTATAAAATTTATAGTAAATCAGTAATTAAAACAATTATGTTATAATGTAACTTATATATAATTATAGTATAATTTGGAAAGAATTTTTCGATGTGCTCAGGTCTCCAGCTGGACAAGAAAGTTCAGGTTCGTCGGAGAAAACGTGGCAACGTAGCAACTGCGTGAGCTGAGATGCGCGGCATGAATAGCACCGACGTTGATGGGCCGGCCCGTTGTTAGCGGCTAGAGGGGAAAGGGACAAGGTAAAAGTTTCCACGATAGTGGGGATAGACAGGAAACGTTGAAACGGAAGGGGGATGTGATATGTTCTGCATGTGGTGGTCGTCGGTGTGGGTAATATAAGCGAGGTAATGTTACCGAGTTGCTGTTTACGGAGAGTTTTTGGAAATTTCATGAGCACATCTAGTTTCCCGGTTAAATTCGAAGCGCGGCAAATTGAATCGACCAATCGTGATAATCGAACCACCATACGTTAACTATACGTCGACTAACATATGCTTCATGAAAATCGAACTAACGGGAATACCTTATCTTGGAAATGCGAATACTCCAAACATTTTGCAACTTATCAAATGCATAGATATATCATTAATGCTTTCGTATGAAACTTTCTGCGCGCGAATCGATTTAAATTCCATGTTTAACTCCGCGACGTAAAATGTTCAGAAACTCTCACTACGATATGATTATTACACAGCATAGTGCTGATTTGAAGAAATTTTCATATATGAGTAGCTAATTTTTATATAGTTCTATAATGAATTAATAGAGGTGTGTTTGAAGATAAAAAACGGAAATGAAAGGAACAAATTGTGTGGCTTGAAAATCTTCAATTTGAAAATTCTCGAGAAACGTCGTACGTAGTGCGGCGCTTTGGAGACGGTGAAATCGTAGAGGGGACGACCCCTCCTGCCCTACTCCGCTGCGCACAACGTCATTGTGCTGTGTGGGGCCATGATCGTTGGAGTGTGTGTGCGTCCCTCGAGCTACGCGCAGACCTGCCCAGTAAATACGAAGCTTCCGTTCCCCTGTGCGTGTCGAAAGAGTGCGTAGTAAAGGAAGAAAAGTCTTGTCTCTTCGGCATCCCGTATCACCGGCGTGTCCATCATGCCGTTGAGTATTGGGGTTAACTTAAGAGTGACCGGACACTGTAATCAGGGCGGTCGTAAGTACATGGAGGACATGTTAAGCGTGGCCTTTCAATCGACACCGAATGACAAAGATCTGGAATATGCCTTCTTCGGGATATTTGACGGCCACGGTGGCGGCGAAGCGGCTACTTTTGCCAAAGAACATTTAATGAAAGTTATCGTGAAACAGAAGAATTTCTGGAGTGATCGTGACGAGGATGTGCTTCGAGCTATCAAAGACGGATACGTGAACACGCACTATGCGATGTGGCGGGAGCTTGGTAAAAATCTTATTTACGCCTCCTATTCTGCTATTTTTGTTATTTTACTGGTCCTTATAGAATTTCTATAAAATCTAAACAATTTCCGAGTACATTTATCCAAAAATCTAGTACATTTAGTATTTTTTAAGAATTTCTCTCATTGTCCCGCGTATTTCCCCCACCACCTGTGCCCGATTAGGTTAGAATTTAGGTTATGTAATCCGAGCTAACCTGAAAATTCGAATTCGAAGAAAAAGTAGTTGAGAGAAAATTTTCAACATTGTTAGTTTTTTTGTGATCAATTCGTCTATTATAAAATGAAGAATTATAAAAACTGGTTTACCGAGACAATTTCGAATAAACATAAATGTTAATAAAGATCTACTTTTATGATAGACAAATGGCCAAGAACTGCATCTGGATTACCATCTACTGCTGGGACCACAGCTAGTATAGCTTTCATTCGTAAAGGCAAGATTTACTTAGGCCATGTAGGAGATTCTGGCATAATACTAGGGTACCAAGTAGATGGTGACTCACAGTGGCATGCTGAAGCTTTAACTAAGGATCATAAACCAGAAAGTGGGCCTGAAATGATGAGGATACGTGAGTCTGGTGGTAAAGTTGTTAGCAAATCTGGGGTTCCAAGAGTTGTTTGGAATAGACCTCGTATAGGACACAAAGGACCAGTTCGAAGATCGACTCACATAGATGAAATTCCTTTTCTTGCTGTTGCTAGATCTTTAGGTATATCATCATTAATATATTAAAAGAAACCCATAAAGGTATGTAAATCATTAGCTGATTAAAGATCTTGTGTTTCATAGGTGATCTTTGGAGTTATAATTCTGAATTGAACACATTTGTTGTATCTCCAGAACCAGATGTTAAAGTAGTTGCAATTGATGTTGAATCACATCGTTGCCTTATTTTTGGAACAGATGGTTTATGGAATATGTTAACACCTCAGGCCGCAGTAGCTATTGTTCAAGCTGCAGATAGACATAATGAGAAACATCTTATTGCTTCTCAACAAACATGTAATGGGGTATGTTTAGCATAATAACTACAATAAAATATTAGATATATATGAAGATGTAGTTCTAATGGCTATTTTAAACAGCAAGCTGACAATGTTCAACTATGGATAAACCCTTCAAAAAGTCTGGTAGATAGAGCATTGGAAAAATGGTCATCAAAACGACTACGTGCAGATAATACAAGCGTGATTACATTAATGCTAGATCCAACAGGTCCATCTCGTAGTGAGGTATGTATTATTGAACATAGTATTTCTTTATTTTAAAAGTCACTGTTAAAAGGTTCAAAATAAATGTTATAAAATGAAGTTGATTTTTGTTATAGAAATATTAATAAAAATAATCTGTTATTAAATGAACATCTATCTTTTTTTAAAAGGTTTTGCTCAGCCAGAAGGAATGTGTTGTAACACATGATATTATTCATACACCTGCACCTACAATTGCTGATATTCCAGAAAAACTTAGTTGTAACCCTGGTTCTCCAAGTGTATCAAGACCATCCCCTATAATAACCCATGATATTGACCTTAAAAAACCAACTATCTCTGATGAAGTTAAGGAGAATAAAGAAGAATCAAATGTGGAAGATACATCACTTATAGAAAAAATAGAAGAAAATCACAATCAAAAGAATGAAACACGAACGAATATCAAGGAATCTCTTGTAGAAGAAAATCTTCAAGTTGTAGAAACATCAAGTAGTGAAATATTAGAAAAAAGTATAGATGTAGATAATGTCGATCTTGATACAATATCAACTGAAAATGTTAAAAAACAAACAAAAACGACAAATGAACCGCACGATATACTAATTCAAGAAAAGAATTTGGCATCTCAACAGTCATCTGAAACAGAAAATGTGATACACCAAAGTGCAGTTTCTAGTGAATGTGATGATACACACACCTCCACAATTGTTACTAGTAACGCGGAGAGCAATGATGTTATGTCGGGAAGTATTATCTGTAGTGAAAACGAAGTAAAGACTAATGTATTAAATGGATCACGTCATAAACAGCCCATATTGTTCTCCGCTTCAAAGAAGGAAGTTAGAAATACAAGAAGGCACAGTTTGAGTGCACATTCACGAAATACCCTCGTGGATGCGGGTTCGTTAGAAACGAAAACATATGTAAATTGTAGGCTTAAGTCGCGTAGTACAAAAGTGTCTGTGACGGGGAATGGAGTGGAGGAAGGTGTTTGGAACTCTGCAAATAAAACGAGCGGTAGTGCTATTGGTACTAAACGAAGACATAGTGCAATATCACAGAGTGTAGTTAACACAGCTGAAGAATCATGTATATTACAAGAGCCATGCATTAAAAGGAGAACGCGTTCGGAGGATCGTCCGAACCCGGTTGACGAGAATGATCCAGCGAATCAGGCTACGAAAGATACAAATAATAGTTTGGGTTGGCCTACCGTGGAATCCAACATTACTCGTGCTACGGCTGGTGCTATCACTGTACCTGTACAGGAAAGACTATCTTCGCTTAATAGTTTCCAAAGAAATTTGGGAAAGAAAGCTACGCCAGTGAAGGCTATCAGAAGACCGTCTATTAAAGGTCTGTTGAAACAATTGTGGGCTGCTAGTCTCGGTGCAAGAGAGTGGGATCAGGGAAGAAGTAGTCGTTCGAATAATTGCAACGAGCAGAGGATAAATCGAACTGTGTCTATTATAGGTTCTTCGGATAATACAACTGTTCCGCAACGTTGGCTCAGGTTGGTTTTTATCATTTAATTTTTTTTTTTTTTTTCATGCATAACGAGTTTATATTTACTCATGGTATTTTCGCAATTTCTTATATGATATTTATGTTTTTTCATTCCAGGTCGGATACCATTGCGGCGACACCTGTAAAAACACTACGTTCACGTAATGTAGACATAACTGGTCACACAATATCTGCACAATTAGTACATCAGTATGGAATAGTAAAGCAAAGTCGACTTTCATTGCCGAGTAAATTGAAACAGCGTAGTAATAATGGATTTCTACAGTCAAGTAGAGTAAGGTCTTCTTCCTTGGCGTCCAGTATAAAGCAAACTAACAGTAATACTGGGAACGGAGCTTGCTCTACGATTAGTCCTACAAATACGGGATGTAATTCTAGTTCCGGAATGGCTAAGAGAGTTAAATCACCTTATAACCCAAGTGCTAGATCATTAAGCACGCGATCTCGTATGAAGCGCCTTGGAAAATGAGGTAGGGTAACGTACATTAATTATATTATTTGTTACATTACACAGGGTATTATTTTTTACCCTTACCAAGTTTTTATTTACTTCGCGTCTTGCTTTTCATTTTCATGGGAAGATATAGCTAGTTGAAAAAGAATCTATTCTCGTTTGTACTGTTGCATTTTATCTTGAAACTTAAAGATATTGTAGGCAAGCTCATGTCTCAATTTTCCAAACGTCTTGACGGAATTGGGTTTGCATTTTACGGACCAATCAATTCGTGTAAAAAAAATCATCGATTTTCGTTGTTTTCTATTTTAGGATAGTTCTAACATTTTCTTAAAACTATTTCGTTAGTAAGAGGTAATTGCATATATAAATGTACTAAGGGGAAGATATGGATATAAAAATCGTTTTTGGTATGACACTAAGTGGGAATTACAGTACGTATCCAGCGATAAGAAGCCATAATGGGATTTATTACAATGAACTGTCATTTTTTTAATATTTCGGTTTAATTTAATATTTCAGTTTGATCTTGAAATTGATATCAAATAAAACAAATATTATTTGTATTGTAAATATTTTATTAAAGTGTAAACAAAGAAGAGGAAAAGAATTGCGGTAATATACATTGTATATTACTTATATAAATATTATATATTAGGATATTATACATTTCTACTACACTCAAGATGCTAATTATCGCTATACCCGCTCTTCTTTTCAAGTGAAGTATTATATAAGTAAATTATTGTTCGCTTAAAAAACATTAAACCGAAGTATCTCAAAAACAAAAGCTTTTTCTATCAAATCTCATTATAGTAATATTAGATGTATACTATCGTTCCAAAAGCGATTTGCACACCTATACTTCTCTCTTGTAAATAGGACAGCAGTTTGTTATCAATATAGCGGTATTTTATAACTTCTACAGCACACTACGGATGAAAAGTCGATCGTATTTTTCATATTTACGTAATTTCGCATGTTCAAGAATGTTTAGCAATAATGTAGATATCAATCTAATAGTACAACGTGTTTTTTGTGTTCCGTTTGAGAAAAGGAGTAACATCAATAAAATTGCATGCATATATTTTTCCGGTTGTACATACAATTATCACAGATTGTAATTTATGCATTGGAATATTTCACTGTTGTCCATGCGTGTAATTTTTAAAGAAAAAACGTAACGCTCTTTTTTTTAATGCCGTATAACGCATAGTTTCTGATTCTGAAAAGTCAATGTTATCTCGCTTTTCAAGCATAATTAAAATGTTCCTCTGTCTTAAATAACAGATCACTATACTAGTTCGAATGCTATACCGCGGTTATATTCATTTGAACATATTTTGTTATCAGCAAGCTACCTATATTTCTGTCACTTTTCACTTTTTTAATAAGCACTTCAGCTGTATAACTAATATTAAAAGACTCATTTTGTTATTTTATGCTTTCTAACATTTGACTAGCTTATCGAGGTGTTGATTATAGAAGAGGAAGTTCGAAATAAAAAACTAAATATGTGAACATATGTATAAAATGTGTGACCACAAGAGGAGTAAAAGAGAGAATGACTGTACCGACAAAGTGCGTATGTGATTTGTAGAAATTATTTCCAATAATTCCTCTAAGTGTTGCAGTCTTCTATGAGGAAATGACCTTAAGGGGATTAATAAGTCGTTAAAGAGAAAATGTGACTTGCTTTTGCAGTAAGGTTAAAAATTAAAATATACGTAGGTACGTAAATCACCGATTTGCTTTGACCAGATACGGAACAGCTATTCAAAATTCGTTCGATCGATGTTGAGGGAAACAAACATAATTATTAAATCTTGATATTCAAGTTTATACAAAAACAGCACAAAGTCTAAAAAAAGTCTTTCAATGCATAAAAGACTCGCAGTAACTCGTAATTCTACTTACTGTTATAAGCATTTAGTCGTTTACAATAGAATTTTGAATAGTGGCCGTTCTGGCACTAAGCAATATACAAAATGACTGTCTATTATGCGATACAAAATTTAGACTATATTTAGAGAAATTATAAAAATAAAAAAAAAAGATTAAATGAACGAGTGAAATGAATTCATCTGTTTATAATTGTGTATAGTAACATAAATCGTTAAAACAGTAATTGAAATGTGAACATTTCGTATAATTCTGTGCTTAAATTGTTAAGTAGGAACACTTCTATTGGAATTTTCTTTTCTTTGTTTTCTTAAGAATGTGATTTTGAGTTTTGTGGTAATATTTTAAGATAATTTAAAATTTGCGTATAGTTAAAACCACGTGCGAAATGTACTTCAGGATACTATAGATTGAAAATTTAGTTGAATGTATATTAAAATAATAACTGTAAATCTAGAGTGAAACAGTAAATTCTCGTCTCTGTATTGCAATCTTATTTTATAACGTTAGATCGTTCAAAATCTTTGTTAAAAAATATTTAACGTTATTATAAGATCATTTTTAAGACAATTTTTAGTTGAGAAATTTTCCGTATAAATGATAATTGTATCGTGATATAAGAGAATTTACTATGTCCATGAATTACGAATCATATGACCAGGTTAAAGAGAAATGGAAAACTGAATATAGGTTGAAAAGCATATGTTTATACGAATTTATCAATATTTTTATATTTTTACGTTTCATTTTAGACAGTGCAAAGAAACATAATTATATCAAAGAATGAAGAAGAGTATGATATAAAGAAAAAGAAAGGAAATAATGACACGTGCCTACAATAGTTACCATTTAAATGTGTGTGTGTATATATATATGTATGTATGTATAAAGTGTATTAATATATCATGGGCCAAGAAGAAAACACATTTTTCATTATCGTAACAGAAATATAAGTACCAAATGATGCAAAAAAAATATATAAGGTAGGTAAAAATTAAAATATGTAAGTAAGGATCTTAAACTGTCTCTTCTTGGTGCATGCAATACAATGGCACAATGTATACATATAAATATATATCAATATGTATGTAAATATATATATAAACGTATATACATATATACATACATATGTAAAATAAAAACACGTATATTTATAAGGTGTCTATATACGTGTATATATAAAGAAGAAGATTTAGATGATTGTGCTCATAGCAGAAATAAAGAAAATCTTTGCTAGCGTTTATTTATATACATGAGAAATTATAATATACATAGAAATGAAAAAAATGAGATGTAGAAATGGACGAGAAAAGGTATCCGTCTGATTGCGCTTGTAGATATAACATTCGTTACATAGGATGTAAATTAAAAAAAGAAACTAAGTATTTTGTGAGAGTCGAAATAAATGAAAAAAAAGAAATAAACAACATTTATTGGAACAACAGAAATGCATAGTGAGCAAAAAATTTATAGTGGTTTATCTCAGGTTAAGTATAGGTTGAAAGAGGCGAACTCGAACAAATGTGTGATCACATTTCAAATCTGTATATTTTAATTAAATAAACTGAAATATACAAATGTTTTTAGTAAATGTTTTCTTTATGAATACCAGCATAAACCCTCATTGTGCATTGCCTAGAAATTTAGACATAAGTTACAAATTATGGAAAGGAGCATTTATATGGTTTTATTAAAGAAAAGAAAATTGAACAAATAAAATTTTAGAATATATGTAAATTAGATATTTTAGAAATTTCTTACAACTGTTATATTTCTACGATGTTATTTGAAAAAATACAATTTTACATATATATATACAGATACGGTATAGTTGGATTTTTCTTTTTCTACGTGATTTCATGATATTGATAGGCATTTGCACAAGTATACTTATATCATATACACATATGGTTAATGATATGATGTTAATTATACACCATACATAACAATGTACATGCTAAATATTCATTTGACTTATACCAATAATAAATACTTTCTTTTTGTTTTAAACCATCATTTTTCAAGGATATCCGAATATAGTGTCGGTGAAGAAGAATTACAATGTAAATAGAAATACAAGAAGCGACAGAATATGATTCTTTAGAAGAATTATCATACATGCTGGTATACAGTCTAACACAATATCTTATTAAGTGATATATTTTTCCTCTTTTCTCTTTTTTACTTTTTTTTTTCATTTTCAATTAAATGCACAGAGAGAATATCCAAAATTTATAAAAGTTATCTGTAACTTTATGACATAATACTGAAACTTTTAAACCTAAAATTTATACCAGAAAGTATGGATTATTCTTACTTTACCATTATGCTTTTCTCTTTCTTAATTAGTTTATTATATCTTGCAAAATTCTATTGAAGGAAAATCCCCACTTAATAGTCAATATAAATTTGAAGAATTATATCAAACTCTGATTATTTCAACTTTCATTATGGAAACACTAAATTATTAATGTCATTTTAAATTACATATCTATGTATCAAAATGTAACATCTTCTTTGACAATAAGATACAATAATAAACGGAAATTTGTAATAATATGTCAGAATGTAAAGAATATGAAAACAAATTTTAATAAAAGCTGATTTGTTTATATACTATAAGCATAATAAAATTTGATGTAATTGTATAATTATAATTTTTTATGACATGATGAAAATATTTAAAATATTTACTACTGAAATTTTTTAAAAAGACAAAAATTTTAATAATGAAAGTATTGCAATCGTCAAAAATTAGTTTGGAATAATATATTATTTTATGAATAACACTATAACAATACAGAAAATTTTTATCATTGACTATTAATCTTTATAATCTGTACAGTTTTATGTTTTCCATAGTTTTATGTTTCTGCAGTCTGACATTTATTTATATTAAAGTGTCTAATTGAACAAGTTCATTTTAATAGACAAAAATCAAATTTATAAAGATTGAAATAATAATAGACAAATTCAGTAAGAGGAAAAATATTTACCTTAATCCTTGTTAATATAAAAATTGTATTACATATAAATTTGATTTACTTAATGAAGTAATTCATGAGTTTGTTAGTCATAATAATAAAATGGATCTCAAAGTGTTACAAATCATATAAAAGTATCATATTTGAAAAAAATGAATTACAAGAAAAAAAACTGTGTAAGATATTAAATTATAGTTTAATCAGTTCTTTAAAAATGAGCAATTTTAGGATGCTCAAATATTAGTTACTATGATGTGGTATATTAAGATTTGCTATACTATTGTGAGAATTAGTAACAATGAACAAATATTTATGCATTAAAAGTGTAATTCATTTTTTTGTAGCAATAAGTTTTTCAAAGATTTATTACACCGTGAAACTCGTTTATTATTACGATTAACTATATTTACAATTGAATCGATATTTTAGCGTGTTTCCAGTTCAAACACGCACACGCATACGCATTAAAAGACAAAGACAATAAGGCACAGAATACACATTATTTCTTACGAGCAATCATTACATGTGGTTGCACAGCCCCGACAAATGAAAAAAAAGGCAAGAGAATGAAAGGAACTTGTATTAGAGAATACTGCTTTTAATGAAAAAAAATCATCAAGACATCTTGTTTCCATACACGAAAATACTATATTATCTGTAATTTTAATTTTTTTTATATTATTTACACTGAAAAAAACGAAAGTTTTGTACATTATAAAAATTGTATATTGAATTTTAAGTAACAACGAAAAATTGTTTTTGCATATATAATTTTGCTTAATATTTTCATATATGGATTGCGGCAAATGATATTTTACGACTCATTTACTTATCATATATATTTGCTTGATTCTGATCACATAGTTCTTCGCGAAAGAAATGAAATAATTCATCAAGAAACAAAGCTTATAAATTTAAAAAGAGGATTCAAGTACCGCGTATAAAAATTAAATATTCGTGACAATTATTAAAAATTAAATGATTTACTAGCATAAAGAATTTAATTCTCTTATAACCAGTAAAACAATTATTGAAATAGTAGCTAGTTTGTGCCCTAGGGTTATCACAGAAAAATGAGTGAGCCTCTCATTTTTCCTAAGAATTTGTCTCAAATTTATTTGAAACATTTTTCACTGCACTCATTTATTCTTTGAGTCTTATTATCATGAAACATTATATGTACACGTGTATAGCCTTTTTCAGATTACTCGGGGCGGTGATAACAAAAATATTGCAAATATATGTATGTATAAGTGATAATATTATATGTGTGCATTGTGTATGGATCATACATTATTAAGGGTACTCATATTAGAAAAATTTTTATTTTTTTAAAAGATAAGCCACCTCTATGAAAAAGTTTGTAAATTAAATTTATGATTTATCACTTAAAAATATACATTTAATGTTTTAAATGAGTGTACCCTTAATAATATCAAATAAGCACATTTTTCTCTATTATCTCACTCATTCACTGTCATAGTTTGACAAATTTTGTTGACACTATATTCACTAATATAATAAAAATTAATTACATAATCTGTTTAAAATAAAATGATCATTCCTAATTAATATTTTTTTACCATTCAAAAGAATATTTCTTCATATTATACACAATATTTAAATGGCTAAATAAAAGTATTACATTAAACAATGGCATTCTTTCGCTGGCTTTGCATGGTGCTTAAATAAAATAGAAAATGAAAATACTACTTCATTTAATATAAATAAGTAATTAAGGCGTTTCCAAACTTTTGATTATTGAAGATAGCAGAATTAAATATTTTTATACTATCTTTTGCAATAAAATATTATAATTTATCATCTACATAGTTTGAAAAATAAAGTTAAAAATTTACAAAAATTTGGACGCGTCGGACATTTCATGACAGTACGCCTCTTTAGAATTTCGAATTCCCATTTAGTGACTAATTAATCGTGTAAAAGTAGTACCAGTTACATCATACTTATGTACTTACACTTAAACGTACAGAGTTATTTACATTTTTCTTTCATACATAAGACAATCCTAACGAAGAGTTTTCAAATTCATCTCGCATCATCAACAACACACGAAATAGTAATTGTGTAAGAATTCTCGCGAACTTGTCTTCCTTCTCTAACACGTTCCCCACGCATATCCCTCTCCAGTAATTATCAAGTAAAAGTATTAGCACATAATGTATAGTTACGAAATAGATCTTGCACGATTTCGTGGGAAATAATATCAAATAATTATCCAGCTGAATGAAATTCATCAGGAGGCGCTTTTTTACTCTCTTTCATTTCAACCGTAATATATAAGGTGTCCTATAATGAATGGTGAAATTAAAGATAGGCTGAATTCTACATGCAAAGATAAATCAAAAATGTAAAATAAAACTTTATATTTAAGAAAATCAAAATTGAAAATTTTTTAGGTGTGCAATCTAATTAAATTTTGAGTGTATCGAAAATTATTGCCAGTATTTATGTATATATCTCAATATTGAGAATATAAATTTCTCGTTTATCAATTTTAACTCTTTATTTTTTTACCGATATATTTTATTATTTTATATGTAAATGAGTTTCCAAAAACAAAAGCTGATGAGAAGTGGAATCATTTCATCATCAGCTGTAACACTCATTGTAGGACATCTTGTATAAAGCGTTGCAACGATCATTCTAATGATAAAAGCGAATACGTTTCTTTCATGATTACTGTAATTAATATCTAGTATTGGAAGCACCAATTCATTTTCGTCAGACATAGAATAAAAGTATACAAAGAAAGATTAATATGTTAATCTTAATTGATTATACTATAATAAAAGAATCATTAAATAACTAATGACTTGATGTTCTTTAATCGAAAATATTTAGGATAAATATCCTAGTAAACTGTTATCAAATGTTTCTCAGTCTTGGGAGAGTAAAATGTTCCTTGATTCGCGAGTAGTCCTTGTTTGATTCTTTTACCACGGTATTCGTTTAAAACCAAATTGAATTGTTCATTAAATACAAGGGCATTTTATATGATGCTTAAGTACGTAATGCATTTCTTTTTTCATCTTTTTTCCAGTACCTAAATATTTATTTTCGCATCTTTCATTAAACAAGATACTTAACCTTAAAATAATGAAATTGTTTCAATTACGCTCGTGTACATGCATATAAATGCATAAAATTAAAACAAAAAGTCGAAAAATGTCGACTTCAGTCGTTTGGTTTGTAGTAAACTTTACAAAACTCTGCACAATAAATAAATTTTTGATTCAATAAATAAATTTTTGACATAATAAATAAATGTTTTGGAAAGTTATAGGAACCAAAAATTTGTCGACTAACAATTTTAATCCAAATTATAGCTACAGAGTTTTGGTTTAATTATTAACATGCACTGCTCGAGATAATAATAAAAATAAAAAAAGTAAAGATACTTCTTCCATTTTCCAAACATTGTGTCCCTTAATCAACTTGAGCAGTGTACCTTTTTGGCATGTTTCTATGACCACAGTCGTTTCACATTAGACACAGTTTCGTTTCCTCTTCGAAGAAATCGTGGAATGAGACAAAATGTACACGTTCACCGACAAACCACACAGCATTCTTGTAAATGTACAACTATATACGAGGCACCGTTTTAAAACTAATTTTTAGACTTAAAGCTAATATATACAATTGTCCACTCTAATGCGATCTCAGGTGAAAAATATGCGCAACAAGATTCTTTCACAATGGAAACAACTACATGATCATCACGGAAAGCATTTCTATACTACCGGCGAGTTTTTAAACCAATCGAATTCCATTTTTATGTTCTCAGTATTCCTTTTTTATGCTGCCATCACACTTTTGTACTGCAAAGAAGATGAAGAAGTCAGCGATGAGAAACGAAGAGGAACTGCAGGAACTAACGATCATAGGAGAAGTTTGCTGAAACTTATGAGGCTATGCCTCAAAATCTAACCAACAAACTATTACTTTCGGCACCGTTCAATTGGCATTATTTTTAACCATCGACGACTATTAGTCGCAATGAATCAAATCCTTTAGGTTATTTTCGACACCGGAAACGTTCAGAAATGACTGGTGAACATAGTCTTTAAAGCCACGTGTGTTTACAAGTTCTTGGGCGTTACGGACGTCATTGATTTTTTGCTGAGTTCCAGATACTCCGGGTGTCAAGAATGATCTGAGGTGCTTCCACTTGACCAAAAAACACCTGTGGAGCACGCGTTGTGCTCGTGTCATCACGGGCTACACCGCACAACCTTTTCGGGTTCCATAAAGAATTTTCAGTTCCGGAACTATGATCTTTCTTATCAGTGCGTTCGTTTTGGCTGTCAGCATTTCACGGTGAGGATCCTTCTTGAAAATCTTGATGCCTGGACGATGAACCAGGAATGCGTTGTCCAAGATGAGGAAGTCATAGTCAAGAACGCACAACGCGTAACCCTGAAATGATAGTCGAACTGGGTTAATGATGCTTTTTCTTTTGAGAAATCGGATTAGAGAGAATATTTTATGAATATTACATGAAATAACGTTTTCCAACCGTTTTTCCTCGTGTTATAAAGCGTTGGTTGATACTCATTTTTTCCAAAAATTTATTAATATCTTTACTTTTCTTTTTAGATATCTAATTTAAATCTTATAAATTTAAAAAGAAACTGACTAAGTGCAGCAATTTATTTCCTGCAGTAATATTAATATACAAAGAAATTTATAAGTTAAATTCTAGGGAAAAATTAATTTCTTTCTCGAATATTTCGTTTCAAGTTTTGTAACAAAATGAACGTAGATCGTGACTGTTAGTTCACGTTGTACTCTCTGAATCAAAAATCATTTGCACCTGTGTCATTTTGTCACTTTTTCCTTCCCAGCTAAGCCTCTCGTCGTACAGAGGATCATTATTGGTCCCGATGAAAATCGGCTCCCAGTGAACGAAGCTGCCTGTTCTCTTGCCGACATGAAACACATGAAGATCCTCAGTTTCCGGTGTCTCCTGCCACTCTTTGCTTCGAGGAACGTTATGACAGCCAGAACACAACTTTTTATGAAAAGGGATAGCCGTACCGGCCTTTAGCATTTGAACCTGAAAAACAATTTCTTTTTATATTTCTTATAAAATAAAAATCTTATAAACAATGTAATAATAAATATTTTTGCATATTCTCAAAATTTTTAGATACATTCTGGTATAATATGTATTATAATATAATTACAACAGTAACAAATATTTATTACTTTAAAAATTTGAGAAATGAAAATATTCTTGAAGACAAAACCCATTTAGCAAAATTTATATAATTTTGACTGTTGTAAAGTTTTATTTGCATACGTAATTTACTTTATTATTTATTTATTTTATTACTTTGTATACATATGTAATTATGTAATTAATATTATATACATAATATATTATTATTGCATTAATGTACAGTGTAATTAATTATGTAATTAATATTATACGTGAAATATTAATTACATAATGTACACGAAATAATTTTTCTATTCTTCTATTTTTCAATATTTTCAACCATTGAAAATTCTTTTTACGAAACTGTACAGCTGCCACTATTATACACGCTTTGAAAGGAGGCACAGAAACGTATCACGGTAATGAAATAAAGCCGGTTGAACGTTTGAAAAATGAAATGGAATTGAATAGTGCATAGAAGTGGCGGAATTGAATTGAATATTTCATAGAAGTGCGGCCAGTGGCCAGCTGCACTTCACAGCGACACTACTAATTGTACGTATCAAGGTCCACGGTCAAAGGAAGCGCCACTGATTAAACGACCCTCGCGTTCATACCATTTAACGTATTGTCAGATATTATGCAGCCGCCATTGCACTCTTCCATACACTTATAATTGCCTTCAAGTTCAGTTCTCAACATAAATACCAAATGTAAATGAACTTGCGTAACAGAATGCGAACCCTTTTATAAATACGAAGAAAATTAGTTCCGCCATCTTTTTTTAAACATTTTATCTCTCGTTTCTACCACACGAACCTTAACACTGAACCTACCACGGTCAAATGACCCATAAACGAGAGAGCAGTAGAATCTTGATAAAATAAAATAATTCGATACACTGAAAGATTTATTACATATTGGATATATTGGTATACTGGAAGAAAAATTGCGAAAATGAATGGATAAGACGATAAGGTTCAACGAAGAATTTTAAATGACAATTTTATTATTTAAAATTATTTATTTAGATCATGGTAGGTTTAGTGTTAAAACACAAATTCATGCACGAATTTTTACTATCGATCCAATATTTAAGAATTAATTTGCAGACGTCATAAAGCTTCGTCGCTTTCAAAACCTTCAATTTAGGTTAGGTTTGAACCGAATTCGTGACAAATCTAGGTTAAGTTAACATAAAATGAGAGTTTTAGAACGAGAGTATCATATTCAGAAGAAAGTAAGGACTAAATAGGTCAGTAATAATCTATTGACTCTCTTTTCACAACGAAATATTTTTTTATTCAACAAGATATTATTTTCGTAAATATCTTTTAATTATTCTAAAATTTAATCAACTTACCAAATGCGTTTTGTTATTAGGCGGCTGACTCTTCTCATCCACCTCAAAGATAGACAGTACAAAAACCTTGGGGTTAGGCTTGTAGAGGGCGGGCTGATCCCTCCTTCTGATCATCTCAAGAAACTTTGCGGGCAAGTTTGGGTTCGGATAGAGTTCGATATCGCTGGCGAATATATAGAACGTCGGCGCCGATTCACGGGCTATGTTACGGCCGATGTTCACAGGATACAGCAGCTTCTTTTCGTTTTTATACATCTTTGAAAGCGTGACGTTCACCCACGGTGGTCCCAGCGTGCAGTTATACGTATCAGACATAACCTTCTCGGTATGGGGTACCTATTTTAGAACCAGATAGTATCGCATTATATTAATACCGTAGAAACATTAGTATGAAGTCATACTTGACGATTTTAAAGTTACTTTCGACCCTCCCAAGGCTAGAATCTTGTTACAAAATAATCCCAGTAGACAGTACACTTTAAAATTAATAATGATAGCAGTAATAATAATAATAGGGTTTCAATTGAACACAGTAAATAAGAATAAAAAAAGAATTTCGATATTAGTTTAAAGCAAAACAAATAATAGTAGAATTGAATTTTGAGGTTAGGTTAACACTTGAGTGGTACTGCTCTATGTAAATATGTGTCTTGTTTGATTTTGTTTTCGTGGTTTGTAGTCAGTTTTGAATTCGAGTAGTTCTGAGCGAGATGTTACGATTGTAAATGCTGGATAAATATTCGAAACTTCTGAAAGGTTATGGAATTCGAAGCTTCGCATTCAGGTCAAAGATGGATTATAGAAGTTACTGTTAATCTTTTTGTATCTTCTACTTATTATTGAACTGACTCACAAATAATATAACATCGTGTATAATACAAAAATATCATGCGAGAAAGTTAAGGTACAGTTACAGACTATTATTAACCTAACCTTAAAGTTTGGAAGTTCAACTTTCAGTGTCAACTTTCATTTTTACATACTTATTAATATTCCACGTGTTTACAATATTACTTGATCGATAAATTTTTTTAGTATCAACCAAGATATACACATCTCTTCATAATGTAGTACGAATCAAATATCAAATTTTTGTTAGGAATTACGAAAAATATATTTCCTAACTCATTCATCCAACGACCTTCGACGATCAGAAATTGTTCAACGAACAGAAATCGAGTGTACTAAGAACACAGAATCACGATAATTTTTCTACGTTTCAATTTTTTTTCTTTTTCAGAATATTCCAAAAATTAGGTTAACTGATTGAACGTTAATATATTTCCTATCTCATTCCTCCAACGACCTTCAACGATACATGGAACAGAAATTGAGCGTAACAAGAACACAGAATCACGATGATTTTTCTACGATCAAATATTTCAACTTTTCCAAAAATTAGTTTCTATTTTTAGGTTAGTCGATTAAACGTTAAGTCATCGTTGATAACTTGCGGAAACAGAAAGGAACGAATGAAGCAATGGAGGCAGACGGTATTTGGCAAAAGTGAAATGACTGGCAGACACGCGGCATGAGAAACAAATTGCTGGCAGAAACACTTCCTGCAGCCGTACTTTTCTGTGGCGAAACTCTGTTATTAATTCCTTCTGTATCACGGCGTAACGTCGATACACGTGCACGTAATTAATTAGAACGCGAAACCGCGATTGCGACTCCTAGACCCAGACACACCAATTACACGTGTGAAGGTTCTTTGTTTCCAGGACGACTCTCTTGCCGTTGGATTATGTATGCAGGACGGAAAGGAGCAAATAGACACCGTTATCAATCGTTGATTGGTTCTATCGTTTAATTGCCACTTTCTCGACCTTTCATCTTGATCCACTTTTTGCTCTTTCCCGTCGGAGAATGTCGGATCGTCTTTCCGACCGGTTATCCGATATAAATCTCACCTTTCTTGAGGGATATCCTTGCCCAAAGGCTCGGATATAGGGCACCATTGACAGAAAAAGATAGACTGAGAGAAGCCTACACCGATCGAAGAATCCTTCGTTGGAGATGGTTTCTTGAAGAACCTATGACGAACTCTCGACCGGGACCGACCAAAATTTTATTCTGGACCAGGCACGCGTGTGTCGCGGGTATCGCGATATTGTAAATACAAACGCAAATAAAAAGAACGGAAGACGAGCTAATGTCACGCAACGAAAATGCGAACGTACTAAACACGGTGCGTTCAGTGGACTGGTCAGCGTCAACAAGTGACACGATAACGAAATTCCGCACGGTCAGCGACGTCTCGTGTTTTGGATACGTGAGTGTTTTCATCATCAAACGTGCCGACAGGATCTCGTGGATTCCTTTAAAAGCTAGACTCGCCGGTAGATCGTCATAATTCGAAGAGGCATTCCGAGAGTAATCCGACGAGTAATCCGTTAAAATGCAGTTGAGGAGCTGTTTCGCGTTTCTGTTGTTGGGACTGGCGGTGTCGCAAGCCGTACCGGCGGAGGAGAAGAAACTGGAGACTGAAGAAATTGACAATGACACGGACAGGTCTAAGAAGTCCGTAAAGGTCAGGGACCAGGTGTCAAGAGTGTTTCAGAACTACAACATCCAAACAGTTCCACAAATACTGATCCCAAGAACTCAGAATCGCAGCATCCAGAACCCACAGGCAGTTCAAACGCTCAGCATTCAGAACCCACAGCAAACTCAAACTCTCAGCATCCAGGGCCCACAACCAGTTCAAACTCTCAGCATCCAGAACCCGCAGTCAGTTCAAACTCTCAGCGTCCAGGGACCACAACCAGTTCAAACTCTCAACGTCCAGGGCCCACAACCAGTTCAAACTCTCAGCATCCAGAACCCGCAGTCAGTTCAAACTCTCAGCATCCAAAACCGACAGTTTGGTCAGCCTCTCAATATCCAGAACCCACAACCAGTTCAAACACCACCTATCCAAACTCTCAGCATCCAACCAGGTGCACCAGCAGTTCAGACTCTCAGCATCCAAACGCCACAGCCTGTCCAAACCTTCAATATCCAGCCTGCGCTACAAAGAGTCAAAACTTTCAACATTCAAGCCCCACAGTCTGTTCAAGCTCTCAGTATCCAACCAGGTTCATCGTCGGTTCAAACTCTCAGCATCCAAAGACCACAAGTTACTCAATCTTTCAGCATTCGAGCTCCTCAGCCCGTCTCAACCGTCAGCATCCAACCAGGTTCACCAACAGTTCGAACTTTCAACCTGCTGCAACCTCAACGCGATCTGACCTCGGTTCAAAGGTCTGCCAACGTAATCACAGTGGCTCCTCGGTCTTCCAATACAGTACAGGTGATCCAACCAGTTCAACACAGCCCCCAAACCAACGTGAACATCCTCCAGCCTACGATAAAGGAGATAAATCCCGTGCCAGTGGTCCAGAAGATCATCCACACGGAGAAGATCGTGGAATCTGCACCTAAGTCGGAGACAGTGGTCGTTTCGGAAGTGGAAAAGGAGGTCGTAGCCCCCGTGGCGCCTGTTTACAGAGAACAGGTGGTTGTCAACCCCCGGTATCCTTGTATAGTACTGTCAGAACCCGGGGCTGTGCCTGCCTACGTCAAGTGTCCCAAGCTGAAGTATGGTCCGAAGACACTCTCTGCTTTGTCTAAGATGCTGGTCGAGCAGCCTGTGTCCGTTCTGACGAGGGAACGCGCTTTGTTCGGTGCTGCATAGAGGGCGCTGCATAAGTAGGGTAGCGTGAGACGAGAATATTCAGACGCGTAGGCTTCGCTCCTTCTATTCCAATATCTACGTGATTGATGTTTGCGTCGGGTAACAATACTTAATTAGAAAATTAATAATAACAATCACATTCCGACAGTGCAAATTGTAGGTTAAGATCGATGTAACCAGCGGAGTAAAATAAAAGCCACGCTGTTTTGAGGTGTAAACCGAACTGAACGATTATGATCACACGTGTCGAATTTTTGACACTGGAACCTAGAAACCTTCGATTTAGAGATTTTCATTGACAAATCTTATAAGGAAATCTGGAAAAGCTTTTTCCAACCCCAATAGTGACTATATGTGTAAAAGCTACCAACCAATTTCCTGTTTCCAAGAGGAAAGCTAACAAATCAAACGGAACATCTGCAAATTTAACGCAATATCTGGTCAAACAAACACACACACAAATATATATATATATAAAGACACATGGGCCAAGGAAACAACGGTAGAATTCGCTACTTGTACTCACCACTTTTGGCACGTGTTTGCTGCTGAAGAATACGTGGAAGGTGACCAGCTGGGAGACCAGATGGCTGCCACAGTTTCTCGAGTACTTGATGGCGTCAAGGGTCGCCGCGAAGTCTGTGCCAGGGGCGTGCATTGCAATCGATATCGGCGCCCTCCATCGTTCCAGTAGTGGTTCCAGATTATCCAGGAACGTGTAGTCCGCGTGCGTGGTGTATGTCACGCTTTCCCAGCATCTTACCGCCATGCTCATCGGCACGTAATTGTAGAGGACCCAGTAATCACCCCGCTGTGCTCTCCTCGGTTCCATTGACTTCTCGTTACAGGGCACAGCTTCTTTTAGGCTCATCGTCGGATAAATCACTGGCATGCCGTTCTTCGCCTTAATGAGGAAGCGAATGGTTAATTGCTGAAGCTCAGGCAAACTGAATTAAAACGAGGTTCTGGATCTTGAGGATCGGGGGGGATCGACGCGGATCGAATTGACGAGAATCCTGGTTAGGTTAGCTTTCTGTTCCTCGGCGTTTGCCCTTAACGATTGTCCGGGGTAACGCGGGACTCTAGGATAACGTAGGATAGGTGTACGATTAGAGAATAATTGATCAATGAACTCGTTGTGAACCGAATTCAGTTCACATTCTGGTTTTGAGACCGAGAAATTGGTCCGGATTGAATTAAACGGGATTTTGGTTAGGTTAGGTTTCTGTTCCCTAGTACTTGTTCTTGGTAATTAGGTGGGCTGATGGGGGGTAGATGGATGACGAAGGAATGATTAATCGGTGAACTGAAGCTCGACTGAATTGTACGAAGCTTCTAGTTTTGAGAATCAGGAATTGTATTGCATTCTAGGGAATTCTAGGGAATTTTTGTTAAATCAGTTCCCTAGCATTTATACGTTATTAATTTTTAAGGTGCTACGAGACTCTGAGATGTCGTGGATTGATCCATTAATTTAATAATTAAGGAACATAGATTCAATTTTGGATTAAGTATGAAAAATCATAAATTAACAGAAATTATATGCAGGCTTCCAATTGGGTTTGTATTCTCCGATGCAACTGTTGCGGATTATTTGTAAAGTATTGTCAGGTATGAGGAGACTTAAGGAACACGTTAATATCCATAATTCCGAAAATTTGGAGCTAAGTTCGTGTCAGTTCGTAACTCGAGTTAGGTTAGGTTTGCGTTTCTCGATTAATTCCTTTGCTAGTTCCAGAGGCATTATGGGACGAATGAACAGATAGGAAAAACAGGATTGAGTTTGAGTTAGGTATAGGGGATCAGAAATCGACACGAATTGAATTAGGGGAAGATTCTATTTATATTAAATTCGGATACCCTAATTTCGATAATTCTCAGGGTAGTATAGAACAGACGGAGGGTCGCAGAAAAAGAGGGTTAGGTTGGATGACGTATCATCTTCACGTGTTCCATCAGATATAAAGTTTGATGCGTCCCATATCGAAGTACAGAAGAAGAAAAACATGAAATATAGGCAACGAACATCAAGATACAGTACTGATATAGTACCTCTCGTAAAGGTAGTCTAAATGTCACTAAAAAAATATTTCGTGTGCTATTTGTACATTAGTCCAAAGACCAAAATACGATAAAAAAAATTCATATACCAAGCTCCTCTTTTTCACTGTTTTTAAATAAATAATAAAAACACAAATGATAGTCAAATAGGTTTCTATCTATGATTTTGATAGGAATAAACTGTACGTTTAATTTTAATTTTGCACTCACGTGCAAAAAGGTATCCATAACCTTAAAAATTCCTCCAAAATTAGCTAGATTCAAGGTAAGTTCAACAAATTGTTTATAATACATTAATCTTGGACACCATGCAAAATTACATTCAAAATATTGCATCACTATAATTAGGAGAGATATTTATGTGGCTACCCTTAGACGAGACACCCTGTGTAATTAAATAATATAATGGTATAGGTATGAATTTTAACTATATATAGAATAAAGAAAGCACATTTTTATTCTATTTTACATCCTTTCCCAAGAATATGTAGATTCTATTATGGGTATATCTCATACAGTTATATTAGATGTGTCATGGTCACACCCTCCATGGAAACTATAATTTCAACAGGAACAAACTATACATTTAATTTTAATTTTGCACTTACATGCAAAGAGACATCCATAACCTTAAAAATTTTCCCAAAAACAAGCTTGCTTCAAAAATTTGTTGACAGTATATTAATCTTCTATCACCATGCAAAATTACATATAAAATATTGTATTGCTATAATTAAAGAGATATTTAGGTGGCTACCCTTAGACGAGACACCCTGTATAATTAAATAATATATAATGGTATACGTATGAATTTTACCTACATACAGAATACAAAAAGCACATTTCTATTTTATTTTACATCCTTTCCCAAGAATATGCAGATTCCCAAGACAATAGATATATTATGGGTATATCACATACAGTTATATTAGACGTGTAACGGTCACACCCTCCATGGAAACAAAGGAACAAACACAGAATAAAATACAATCCTCGCATAACGTGATTCCAATGCCTGACCAATTTTCGACGAAGTATAATACCATAACCGTTACCCAGCTATCCCGAGTTACTTTCTACAGTGAATTTTGCACGTGACATTACCGGCATCTTCCGTTATTACTAAATTATCGTTAGATACAGTTTCTTGCACTGGTCTCCATCGGAAAGGTTGAGACAGAGATGGTAAAAGCTTTCGCTTCAATTTTGCACGGCGATTGGGAGAGGGAGTAGGAAGATACACGTTGAAGTTTCCTCTTCTGAAATATTGATCTGCACAGCGGTTGGAGCAGCTCCTGAGCCTGGTTTGACGCGACTTAATTCCTCTACACTCCTCTAGGAAGCTGTGGAAAGCTTGATTTGCGGGGTAAAAAAGGCCCAGCCTAAACCGCCGGGTCATCTGTGTCGAACAATCGACGGCTTACAGGGATTTTCGGGGGTGACGAGACTTGCTCGCGAGCCGAGTGAAAACGTGAAGAGAATCGTGATTTCTCGTGCAATCGCTATTAACGCGTAATCCAAATATTTCGAAGGAAACACAGATTCCTAACGCAATCTCGAATTTGGGCTATTCCGTAGGAATATGGGATATAAAACTGAAAATTTTAGGGTAGTTGTTGTAAATTAACTACTCCTATGCAGCGATGGTGACAGGCCTGTTAGAGGTTGCAGGCCAGTACCGATCTTTGGACTTCAAGATACTGTGCAGGCATCAAGGGGTCGGTTTTGGGGTTTAACCCTTTGCACTCGAGAGGCGCCTTCCAGTCGCCATTTAATCAGATTCTAAAGATCATTGTTAATTAATATCTCGAATTTAAAATTGCCCAACGACGCGTGAAATATCGAGGTCAAATAATTCCACGTCTTACAATTAATTTGCACTTCTTATTTACCGTTTTGAAAATATCGTCGACTTTATGGCAGAAAGTCTTCGAATTACTATGTTTCTGTAACGAAAAGATCGTCGAGTACAAAGGGTTAAAAGGGCCTGCTGTCTCTCGCAGCTCTCACTCTCAAACCCAGAACAGTGCAGATTGCTTACGTATTGTGACCCATAGTGGCGTGATAGACTCTCGTTTTCTTTATATATTCGCACAAAGTGTATATATTTCACTTACATTAAACTTTATACATCCAATTGCTGTACAATTGAATATTTTTTTATTTCCTTCCCGAAATTCCCAACAGTAGTAATATAGTATCGCACATTTTCCATCATGTACACGCAGCTTTATAAAGGTTACGGAGAGAACGAGGGTCCAATGTGCAAAGCCTGGGTCAGCTGGGAAAAGCTTGGGTCGTCAAACCCTTAGCATGATCATTGTTGCGTCCCGAACACTGCAACTCGCACAGTGGGGGTTTCACGGGGTTGTAAGGCCCGTTTACGCGGATGCGATAATGTTGCTGGGATGGGGTCTACTCTAAATTAACCCTTTCGCTACGGGTGACTATGGTCACCGACCACGAGACGCCATCTGCACACGACAGGCAACTATAGTCACCGGCCACAAAAATTGAGTAAAAAATTAATTAACACTTGTCTGTGCTACCGTTCCTCTTATCTTTCTTCGCAAAGAGTTGCAAGCACTATTGCGATGGTCAGTTTTTCTTTTCTTTCTTTCCTTCGAAAGATTTGCGTCAAAAGACCGAATACCAAAGACTGCACGATCGTAATGTTTCCATCTTTGACACGACGTTTCGTTCTATGGGAGAGACTTCTTTAGGACACTTCTTGTTAAGACAATCTTTTTTTCCTGGTTTTATGTTTTTACATTATGTAATTCCTTTATTAGTAAAAATATACCAATTTTGTTTCATTTAAAACGCAATAAAATTTCTGTGCAATATGGGTCTATTTTATTTTCTGAAATCCTGTGAAAGAGTTAAGAGTCGAAGTCAAACAGAGTTGTAATATTGTAATAATGCATTGAGCTTTACAGTAAGCCAAGAAATAGTTCGTAACTTTATTGTCACTCTCACATTTTTATATTATTGTTAGCAATAAATGTTCTCTCCATTCAATCTCTATATAAATGGTAACAGTTGTAAAAGAGAAGAAATAAAAATGGCAGGAGAGGTGTTGTGCCATATGTGGCATTTTTGATACAGCTCTCCGTAGAGCCATTGATGTTCCCAATGCGTTTGAGGGAAGTGAGGGTGTGTATTACGAGCGATACACGTGGCTTATGGGAGTAAGGTGCATGAAAATAACGTAGGGTAGGACCAGTGAAGTGGCATGAATATTTTAAAGAGAGTTAAAACCGATGTAAACGTGGTGTCATGAAAAGAAGCTTCTTCCTTGAGGATGTTAAGTGACACATTTGTTAGTTAGGTACATTTTGAGAATCTTTCGAGGCACAGAATTGAAAATTTTTATAACATAAAGTCAATTTTAGTTACGTAGGATAGTCCTCATTTTTCAAGTAATGAAAAAGATAGTTGAGAATGCGAATTGTTGCGTTTTAAAATAATAGTTAACTTGATAAAAATAGTTGAAGATTTATGTTGAAATTTAATTAAGCATCATGCAAACCCTGGACCCACCTATTTCTTTAATTTTTCAATAATTATAACTGAGAAAAATGTCCAATAAGGCAATAAAATATTTTTTATCATGATTTAAAAATTATTAATTTATTATATTAAATTATATTAGCAATACGACTGTTCAAAAGATATTAATAAAACAAAAATAAATTGAGAAAGTTCATCACTGCATGATGTCTTATTACATCAGAAGTATAATTATATACACGACAAGCATCAAAAAAAGAATTTTGAGTACAAATAAATTACCGATTCAGTTGATACGTGATATTTTCCAATTCTAAAAACTACTAACGA